TCTTAAGTCGCTGGGGTATATTTGTAGCAATAGCCAAAAATACATTGTATGGGTTAAAATTATCGATTTTTCTTTTATGCCAAAAATCATTAGGATATTAAGTAAAGATCATGTTCCATGAAGATATTTTGTAAATTTCCTACCGTAAATAACTTAAAACTTAATTTTTGATTAGTAATATGCATTGCTAAGAACTTCATTTGGACAACTTTAAAGGCGATTTTCTCAATATTTAGATTTTTTTGCACCCTCAGATTCCAGATTTTCATATTGTCCTATCATAATAAACCATACATCAGTGGAAAGCTTATTTATTCTGCTTTCGGATGATGCACAAATCTCAATTTCATAAAATTCACCCTTATGACTGGTTTTGTGGTCCAGGGTCACATATGGTCATTGATAAGAAGAGGATCCTTTGCTGAATCTGAGGTTCAGAGTATGTGAAATGTAACCACAACCTCTAGCATTAAGTTACTTGTAATTGACAAGCCGTCATCCTAACCTGGTTTAGAATGATCAACACTTGGCTAACCACCAGTGCAACCAAACAACCCTCTGCAGATGAGATCTGTCCTCTGGCAGACAGCGAGGGCCTGGACCTCGTCCAGCGGTTCATAAATCCACCCTCGACTGTCTTTAGCACTGTGTTATGGGGCTTTAGTGTCCTGGAGCGTGTGAGCTTCATCAGGGATCAGGGCTATCCTGCAAAACAGCCTCATATTCCCGCCTCTCGACCATGCAGAGCAATCATCTGAACTAATTACTCCAATATCCTCTGGCTTTCTTCAAATATAAAGCGCTCCAGATGTAATAAATCAGACTCATCACACACATTGCTTTTCCCATCTCACAGAACCAGGGCACCTAACATCCCAGCTAACAAAAGTATGTTTTCAGAATGCTTTGCTAATGTTCCCATTAAGTTATGGAAATGTAATTTCTGAATGTTTTCTGAATGTTCAAAACGTTCAATTTCAATGTTTTAAACAGTTTTTATATGTTTTAAAAATGCTTTTTTTTTTTCTTGTTTACGCAAATGTTAAAGGCATAATTCAGTTTTATTATTGTGCAAACATTATGGGAACGGTACATTTTGAATGTTCTCAGTAATATAATAAGTAGTAAAAAATAATTTAGACGTTAGTTTCAGAAGAAAAAAAAATACCTTCCATGTTTTTGTGCTGCTAATGTTTTATAAACATGAATGTTCCAATAATATTACTTGTCTTGTCTGGTCTTTAATAATGCCAAGTAAAACATTAGCATAGAAACATTCATACATTTCTCATGATTTTTCTTCTGAAACATGATTTTTTTAAAATGTTGCTACATTCAAATGTACGTTCCGATAATCTTTACAAAACGATGAAATTGAATGTTCCCTTAACGTTTACATAACCAAGAAAAACACCTTATTCGGCACCATAATTCCAGAATCGACCAAAACTACAACCAAAAATCTGATTGGCTAATGGGAATGTTGCTGCAGGACCAACACGCATGCATTGTGGTACTCTCATGAACGCATGTTGAAGACTGACACAGAAGAGAAGAAATTGTTGAATAAAGTCATCATATTTATTTTCTTTGCGCACAAAAAGTATTCTCGTAGCTTCATAACATTACGGTTGAACCACTGATGTCACATGGATTTTTTTAACAATGTCCTTACGACCTTTCTGTGCCTTGACCATGGTAGTTCCCTTGCTGTCTATGGGAGGGTCAGAGAGCTCTCGGATTTCATCAAAAATATCTTAATTTGTGTTGCCAACATGAAGGTCTTACGGGTTTAGAACGACATGAGGGCGAGTAATTAATGACAGAAATCAAGCGTAGCGTCAGTTCTGGCATGTCACGTTAGTCAAGCTCGCATCAGCTGACTCTCAGCTGATCCCCATCAACCTATGGGAATACGACACCTATCTAAGTATTCATATATAAGGTCCCTCAGTATTATCAGCAGTTT